TCCCTACCCAAAGCTGCGTAGTCTCTGCTTGAAGGCTTCCTCCCACGTGGATCCTACCATCCCTTAGGGGCCAGGACGCTGGGTTGGTGGACAGCTCCCTGGGTCACAGCCTCCAGTGGGCTTGGCCTCTATGTGTCTATCCCCTTAGTATCTGCACCTTTTAAACACTCCTCAGAACCAGGCAAGAGCAAGCACGTCATCAGTCCCTGTTGACATCTGCAGGAAGCTCATCCGGCCTTTTGTGGTCTGTTCTTCTTGGGCTAAACTCCCTGCTTTAAACTGACCTGGCTCCTGGCCCCTGACTCCTTCCAAGGGTATTTCTCCCTTGGTATAGTATTCATTGTTGTCTGTATTCTAAGGAATCGCTGCAGACCTGACGAAGTTAGCGTTTCAGACTGGGTCTTTCTCTTCCATGCAGGCCAATCGGCTTCCTGCAAAGAGCATTCTTTTGGGGCAGACTTTCAGGACACTGCCAGATTTACTCATGCAGGTGTATGTAAGACATATTACTGGGTGGGTTTTTCCTTCTTCACATGCCCTTCTCCAAATACAGAGCACACGCCTCACCTTCATGATTAATATGACAAGGCGAATTAGTAAGATGTTCTGACAATGAAGGGTTATGCAATTTTATGTCTTTCTCTCCCTTTCGCTGAATCAAGGCTGGTGGGAAACAGTCCAGCCTGGCCACTATCAAGCACAAGAGGAAGGATGTCACTGCCCTACCTGCGGACATGAAAGCTAAATCCACGAGCAGACTCCAGGGCTGCCTGGGGGCAGATGAGGGCTGAGTGATGTGCAGGCTCACCTCAGAAGCCCTGCACTGGCAGCTGCTCCTGTTCAAGTTCTTTCTCTTCAATCAGTCCTTCCCAACACCCCCATGTTCCCGGCAAAGGAAAGACGCCAGTCAGAAGCAAGGGGAGCTCGTCAGAGTGATGGAGTAGGTCAGGGCACTTCGAGTTCATAGAATCTTTAGATCCAAAGATTATTTTCGGGCTCATCTACCCACTCATAACAGCACAAAGAACTGAAGCTCTGGGAGGTAAAGGACTTATTCAAGGTCACTGTGGGCTAGGGCTGAGATTCCAGATCCTAACCAAGTTGACGTTCCCAAGTTGTACTGGAGCATTCAACTTGTCATCCAGTGTGCCCTCCAAGGCCCTAGCTCAGGATTTATCCTGTCCAGGAAGCATCCCCAGCCTTCTCCCAGTCTGTAGAGATGGCTTCCCTCCCTGATGTCACTGCATGTGTCATCTCCATCACTCGTTAGCACCATTAGATACAGTGCCCTTTGACATCCCATGAGTCATAGAACTTTGAGCTGGCAGGGTCACTGGAGGTCATTTCACTCATGTCTCACATTCAAACTCTCATACTTCAGCTCACCCATGTAACGTTCCTTTAGAGAAACGTTCTTGTCAAGTTGATGATGTTATATTTCTCTCCAGAACTCAGCACCATGCCTTGCATACAGGTGTAACCAGCCCCACAATGCATATCTGGCTCAGGATGGCTATTTAGCAATTACAAAGAATGCAGGTGTACAGTAGACTGAGATTCCGGGTCTGCTGGGTCTGCCGTTTATTCACAGTCTGACCTTGGATTAGGCACCTGACCTCGCTACGAACGCTTCCTAACCTGTAAAATGGCAATAATAGCTGTGCCCACTAGATATATTTTATGTGAATTAACAATAAAAGACAAGAGGAAAGCTCTTAGCACCACATTAAGGGTTCAATAACTATTTGCTATTCCTTGATCACTTTCAGGGAAATTCACTCTGTCAATGCCATTGACTGATAATCAGATTCTCAAGAAGAGGCTCAGACAAGGAAACCTGGGGAATCTTTCACTTCTGAGGGAAGCTTCCAACTACATAAAGCAGGCTGGAACGCGATGGGAAGAGTAAAAATATGAAGAGAGAAAGAAACCTGAAGAAAAGTCATTTACGTCTGGGCACGGCCAATAATACAGCCAATAACTCAAACAAGAGAGGCAGAATGGAGGGCAGGTAGGACCAAGTGTATAGGTGATTCTGCTGACAGATGATGGTAGGCAGTGTGGGAAAAATTACCATGAGTTCCCCCAGTTAGACTCACAGTAAAACTGGGATTCTACCTTTTATTTGTCCAATCACGCCCTTTAATGCCAGGTTACATTTTACCACCACCAACTCTGGGCCCACAACCCACAGCATGGCCTGAGGGCTTTGATAGACACCATCACCCCCTAGCGGTGGCTTACACACCCCGCTATTGGCAGGGCTTGGCAGGGACTGACTTTGCACTTCCAGATGTGGCATGTGCCATCTCCAAAGCCCTGGGACAGGTCCATTAGTAATGAAAGACTCGCCCAACCCACCAGACACACTCTGCTTTTAAACAAAGGGTGTTGAGAAGGTCTGGGGATGGGATGATGGCATGAGGCTGCCTCTGGACACTGGGAGAGGGCCATAAATGACTCCTAGTGCCCCCCACCAAGCAGCAGCCCTCCTTTCCAGTCAGCCCGGGCCTCCTGCAGCTCTCACTGTGCACTCCGTGTTTACATGCAAACAGTGGAAGACCAACACAAATAAAAGCCCACGTCTCCCTACAGCTCCTGCTATGCTAGGCCATCTGGTGAGTACCTCGCTAGCCAAATCTCTGGGGGGAGGGCGCCTCGAGCTGCCAGTCCAGGGCGCTGTGGGGAGGAGGAGGAGGCGGGAAACCAATTCCCTCCATGCCTCCAAAAGGTCTCAGAGCTGCCAAGGAGTACAGCACCCAGCCACTGCACAGCAGGCGGTCCCCAGCGGCTAGGCTCAGCTGCCTTGTGTCAGAGAAGGCAGAAGATTCCAAGAGGAGGGTGCCAGCAGGCTCCAGAGCTCACTCATGGGTCCTGGGGTAATGGCGACTTCCAGCTCCTCGCTTAGCTCCGCACTCAGCTTGCCCAGCGCTCCCCAACACCCATTCCCTCTTGAAAGCCAAAGTTTAAAAAGGCAGCGATTTCCAGTCTAGGAATTGGGGGCGACTCTCATAGCTGGCTGAACCAGGTCCCACATATACTTGGGGAACTGGAATGCCCTGGGGCTCCTGCTTCCAAGTTACAACAAACCCCCCAACACATCCCCTTTCCTCCCTTATTTGACCACTCATTTAGGGGGGATCCCCACTCCTGACTTCTCAGGGCACTCCGGAGTAGAGATCGGGCATGGAGGAAGAAGGCTGGGGTTGGAAGTGGTGTGGAAGGGATGCCCTCGGTGTTTCCCAAAGGACCCTTCCCTTGGAGGGAGGCTGCAGCAGTTAGCCCTGAGTCCAAGGTTAGCTCTTTACCCGGAGGAACCCCATCTCCACCGTCATCCCCGACCCCGGACTGTAGAAACGGGCAGCCCCACCGATGCATGTGTGTGTCCTGCGTGTGCGTATGCTAGAGTGTGTGTGTCGCACTGCCAGACGCGCTGCTGCGGGAAGTCCCCTGGAAACCTGCAAGGCGCTCTCCTGCTTTGCCTCCAAGAAAGCTCAGCACGCTCCAATTACAGCCAGCTGGGGAGAGCCCAAGGGCCAGAAACCCAAGGCTGCAGCTCTGAGCACGAGAGGGCCTGGCACTTGCTCAAATCTTCCCAGGCAGCCAGCACGAAAGGGAGGGGGGAGGGGTCACAAAAAATACGTTAAAAATATTCTGGCTCCCTGAAGAGGAGTCTAGCCCACTGATTACTCTTTGGGGCTTCTCAGAAGAACAATGAGTTAATCGAGGAGGTCCAAGCCAGGATTCTGACGGCGCTGACCGCGAAGGCCCACCACCCCGGTGATGCCTTGAACTGAGCTGTATCCCAGAAGTCAAGGATGCGGGGGAGAAGAGCTAGGGAGTCTCCCCGCAGCGAGCCCCCCGTGCCCCAGGCGCTGTTGTCGGTCAGACTCCGACAACCAATCGCGCCCCGCGCCCCCAAGAGGGGAGGAGAGAGCCAGCGACCGGCGAGCGCGGGAGAGCTAAGGGGGAACAACATTTCTGTACACGCTCTCCGAGATAATTAAGCTATCAATTACCCGGGTGGGAAATCAGCTGTGCTTCCCACAGCTCCTCGGAAGGGCCGACTCCTCCGGGATTCGCGCTGGGAACCAGAAGGCAGCAAGCTGCGAGCGAACTTTCTGATTAACTTTTCTGTGTCAGCCCCCACCCCCGGCCCCACCACCACACTATCCTTTCCCCTTCCATTTTCTAGCTTTTAAGTAGCTATTATTATTAGCCAGTGACGGAGATTCGAGGGCAAACCTGCTGTCCGCTGGGGGAGAAGGGGGTGTGTAGAAAGGCAAATGCGACAGCGGAGGGGGGGGGGTGGAATTCTGCAAGTGGAATTCAGAATCCCACCTGGGGCGCAGAATCCCAGCCCTCAAAAATCACTCAGTCCTCCCCTGCCCCACTTCACCGATGGCCAAAACTGAGGCCCAGAAAGGAGAAGAGACTCGGCCAAGGTCACCCAACCCTTTCAGAAGCCGACTTGAGGCGGACGGGATGATTCTGCACGGAGCTTCTCCGCTCGGATTCTCGAGAAAATCTATCCGGAAGAGCAGCGCCAACAACTCCGACGCTAGGGCGCAGGGGCGGCGGTTACCGCGGCGGCAGGGACCGAGCCGGAGCCCGGAGGAGCAGAGGGCGGCTGGACCTGCACCCGGCTTCGGAGCGGAGGACCTACCCCGCCCTGAGTTCGAGCACACTCAGAGATCTGGGGTCTCGGGCGTCGGGGACGGGCGGTGGCAGAGCTCAACGTCTGGACTAAGCGACTGAGGGACAGGTCCCCACTGCAGAAGGGCTGGCACGCCCCCGGGCTCCCGCCACGCGCTTCCGGGACCTCCTAACCCACAGTCCTTTCCAACCACCTGTACGCCCTCCGGGCCCCTCGGCTGCCCTCTCCCAACGCCGCTGGGGGCAGCCCGGGGCGGGGCTCCCCAAGGCACCCCCGCCCGTCAGACTTCACTTAGGGGTTCACTGTTCCTTGGGGTCTCGCGTGTGCCGGCGCCCAGACTTACCCAGAGTGAAGAAGGGCAGCTCGGTGTTGTCCAGATCGTCCTGCACCGCGATGCGCCCCGGCAGCTCATTACGCACAAAGAGCAGGAGGCGCGACTCGGCGGTGGCGCCCGCGGAGCCGGCGGAGCCCGGAGACGCGGCGGCGGCGGCTCCAGCCCCGGTCCCAGTCCCGGCCCCGGCCCGGGCTCCGCTCCAGCCGATGTCGCTCTCCCGCAGGGCGGGCAGTGTGGACACCGTGACGGTCTTGAGCCGGCAGGGGCTGTCGGGCTCCCGCGAGGCGGCGGCGGTGGCGCCGGCCAGCAGCGGCGGCGGCGGCAGCAGGAGCAGGAACAGCAGCAGCAGCGGC